CAAGTGGCCCCCAAGAGTTCCCAAGAGGCCTCCAAGAGGCCCAAAAGATGCCCCAATAGGCCCCCGAGCGACATCCAAGAGGCCTCACCACTGCCTCCAAGAGGCCCCCGATAGGCCCCCCACGAGGTCCAAACGAACATCCGATGGTCTTCATAGCCACAACCCATGCACGGTGGCGGGATGGGCCCAAGGCGATTAGATAGTAAAGAATTCGACTGGTTAGGACTCTGATTCATCATTCCTCAGGACTTCCCCAACCTTCGAAATATTCCAACATAGAATGTGTCCCAGCCCGATTCGCTTCGCCCAGAACATCTTGGTCGCATGGTGCCGCGACAACCAGTGTCCTTTGTGCAGTGGACTTCTGGTGCAAGGGCCCGGCTGGACATTTGAGACCCATCGTTGCTCTTGAATTGGGTTTTGAACGTTTTATTATTCGGCGTTTCGACATTAGGGAGGGGGGAGGGGGGAGGGTCTGGGGGGGGGGGGGTGCGAGGGCCCGCGCCGATCGGCAAAATAAGTAATACAAAACGCTCGCGTCCTCCGCGCGTTCAAGCTCTTGTTTGCGGCTTTTAGCGTGCATGAGGCCCTCAATTTGCCGGGGATTCCTAGCCCAAGTCGTCGAGCTCATGCGGCTCATACGCATCGTAGGGCCCATGGGGGCCGTAGGGTCCGTACGGGTCGTTGTGTTCATGGGGCTCTTGGGCTGTTAGGGGTCGTAGGGCTCGTAGCGCTCATGGGGCTCACGCGGCTCGTAGGGCTCGTCAGCTGAATGCTGCTCGTAGGGCTCGTAGGGTAAAGGAGGGCTTGCAGGGTTCGCAGGGCTTGTAGGGCTCACGTGGATCATGGGCTCGTAAGGGCTCATGAGGCCGACGGGAGTCATGACGCCCGTATGCCTCGTAGGGCTCGTGCGTTCATAGGGCTCAGGGGGCTCGTTGAGCTCACGAGGGTCATAGGGGTCGCGAGGCTTATAGGGCTCATGTGACTCGTAGAGCTCACAAGGCACGCGAGGCTCGTAAGGTTCGCGGTGCGGTGTAGGCTCGTAGAGATAGTGGAGTTCACTGGACTCGTGGGTGTAGTGGGGGTCATGGGGTTCAGAATGTGGCTTCGGGTTGTGAAGCTCACAGGGGTCGTAGGGCTCTTGGGAGTCGGGGGCCCATCGAGCTCGTGGAGCTTGCAGACGTCACGGGGGTCGTCGGGCTTCTGCTGATCAAGAGGGCCGCGGGTCTCATAGGGCTCATACGGGGTCGTAGGGGTCGTGGGGGTCATCGGGCTCGTGGGGGTTTGTGGGTCTGACAGGGCTGACGGGGCCTGTCATCAGGTTCGTATGGCTCAGGCGGCTCATGAGCTCGTAGGGCTCATTGGGGTCGTAGCGTCTGTAGGGTTCGTTGGGCTTGAAGGCCTAGGGCGCGTGAAGCTCGTGGGGATACACAACCTTTTAGGGCTATTGCGCTTGTAGGGCTCGTAGGTCCCATGCGGCTCATGAGGCTAACAACATTCGTAAGGCTCGTAAGGCTCATAAAGCTCGTGGGGCTCGTACGGCTCGTGGGGGTCATGGGGTCGTAAGGCTCACACGGCTCATTCAGGGCGTCGTAGCGCCCGTAGGACTCGTAGGGCTCCTCGCGCTCATAGTGTTCGCAAAGCCCATATAGCTCGGAAGCGCCACAAGGCGGTCATGCTCATAACGCTGACAACGCGCGTAGGGCTCTCAGGGCACGTACAGCTCATAGGGCTCGCATGGCTCAAGGTTCTGTAGAGGGCTCGTGGGGATGATGCGAGTCATGGGTCTCGTAAGGTTCATCGGGCTCGTATGGCCCCTTGGGCTCATGGGGCCCGCAGGGATAGTGGAGCTCGTAGGGCCGATCTGGCTCGCTGGGCCTATAGGGCTCATGCAGGCCGAGTGGAGAATAGGGCTCATGAGGCCTCGGGGGTGGTGGATTCGCAGCGCTCACCGAGGTCCTGGGTGTTTGCGGGGTGCCCCTGGGGGATGTTCATGTGGGTAGCGGCGGTCGGACGGCTATCGGTGTCGGGCTCATATGGCTCATCGGGATCATTTGAGTCGTAGGGCTTAGGTAGCTCGAGGGGGTCCTGGGGCTCGCTGGTGACCGCTGGTGTGCACGGGGCAGTGCTGGACAGTGAGGCTCATATGGCTCGTCAGGGTGTGGGGCTGATAGGGCGTATGGGGGTCACGAGTTCGGAAGGTTCTTGGCTGATGGGTGGTCAGAAACAACAGAAAGCGGGAACGCAGCAATGTACGGAAGACGTCGCAATCAAAGACTAGTCAAGCGCTTGGGTTGAGGCTCTCGTGGGAATCTCCTGGGTCTGCCATGCGGTCTCTTGCGGGGCCGTTGGAGCCGCCCTGAAGTCGCCTAGAAATGACCCAGGGCTGGACCTACACATTGTTATTCGTTTTGTTTTCGTTTTGTTTTTCGTTTTGCTCTACCAGTTTTCCTGTACCTTCCTACCACAACGAACAAACAAGACACAGCCCGAAGTCCAACAAACCAGCGTTCGTTTAGGTCCAACCCTGAAATGACCTTAGGCGTGTTGGAACAATCTTGGGCGCATCCGGGAACCGATCCGATGGGGGTAGCAACGGTCGAAGAAGGCCGCGAGGGGCACACGGAACTCAAGATTCAAGTTTCTGGCAATGGGAACGCCTGTTTTTTTGTTGTTGTTGTTTTCCGGGGGGAGCTCCAAAAGGGGGTTGCCGATGTGAGAATACTCGAAGCGGAATGTGTATACACATACATCGAATGAGACAGAGAGAGAGAGAGAGAGAAAGAGAGAGTCGCACGAATGCAGGTTCGCGAATGGGTCTCTCTTCGGCGCTTATTGGGGCCGTTCGGAAGCCGTCGTGGGGGTCTCTTGGGTCGGCTTGGGTCCGTTGTTGGGGCCTTCTTGGGCCGTCGTGGGAGGCCGTTGGGTAGTCTACTGGTCATTTTGGGCCCATCTTGGGCCCACGATCCATCTTGGGGAACTCTTCGGGCCCTAGAGAACCCTCCTCGGGCTTTCTGGACCCGTCTTGGGGCAGTCTTGGGCCCTGCTGAGTCGCTCCAAACGCCGAGAGGGGCATCCATGTAGGGGGGGGTCCGGCCCAAGAATATTCGAAGAGGATTATGAGATCAAGGGCGGCCGAGAGGGGGGCGTCCAAGAGGGGGGGGTGCAAATCCGCCGGCCCCCTTGTGGGGCCACCAGGCTGCGAGGCGCGGGATTCGCAGTTTCCTGTACCAGTTGTAGCTTGTAGTTTCCAGTGTTACAGTTCTGCTTATTGCTGGTTACTGTAACTAGTTGATTGACCGCGCGAGGGGGGGGGGGAGGCCCAAACAGGATTTTTTAGCACCCCCTGGGCGCGTTGTCTGAATTGCTGGGGGGGCTCGAAATCGACACCCCTTACGCAGATCCGCGGGGTCAGGGTCCAAAAACACATGGGATTTGCCACATTTCTGAAATTCGGTGCCACCCCTCACGCAGATCCGCGGGGTCAGGGTCCAAAAACACATGGGATTTGCCACATTTCTGAAATTCGGTGCCACCCCTCACGCAGATCCGCGGGGTCAGGGTCCAAAAACACAAGGGATTTGCCACATTTCTGAAATTCGGTGCCACCCCTCACGCAGATCCGCGGGGTCAGGGTCCAAAAACACATGGGATTTGCCACATTTCTGAAATTCGGTGCCACCCCTCACGCAGATCCGCGGGGTCAGGGTCCAAAAACACATGGGATTTGCCACATTTCTGAAATTCGGTGCCACCCCTCACGCAGATCCGCGGGGTCAGGGTCCAAAAACACATGGGATTTGCCACATTTCTGAAATTCGGTGCCACCCCTCACGCAGATCCGCGGGGTCAGGGTCCAAAAACACATGGGGATTTGCCACATTTCTGAACATTTCTGAAATTCGGCGCCACCCCTTACGCAGATCCGCAGGGTCAGGGTCCAAAAACACAGGGGATTTGCCACATTTCTGAAATTCGGTGCCACCCTTCACGCACATCCATCGCAAGGCGTGGTAACCCAAACTGCGAGAACTCCCTCGGCCCTTTAATCGCAAGGTGTGGTAACCAAGCCCGTAAACCATACACGTCTTACCAATCGCCAGGTGTGGTAACCCCTCTTGTGATCAGTTGGTTTTGCTGATTGCGAATCGGCTTCGCATGAAGTTTCGATACTGCTTCACGACAGCGCCAAGACCTCATGACTTAGCTCTTCCATGGCCCATTCTCCGAGAGAGGGGGCCGGCGGCAGGGGGCGAAGCCCTTACGGATCATGGTCAGCGGCATGTGCGCGGCCCAAGGGGGGGCCAAGGACGTAATGAACTAAGAAGAGGCGCCATGAAATCCGGGAAACTACTATGGCCCACGCCAAGGTATCCCCCCCCAGTCATCACCCCCCTCTTTGCCGCCCCCGGTGCTATTCAAACTGATTCAGGCCTGACGATCTGGGATTCGGGCTGGGGCTCGAGACCAGTCCTGGAGCGGAGAGCGCCGCCGCGCGGTCGACCAGGCGCCCCTGGGGAAACCAGCGCGCTGCAGGATGTCACCGCGTGTGCGCTGCGGTCGATTGCGGGGGGGGGGGTCCCAACCCAGGCGCGCCCAGACGCGAGCGCAACCCCAAGTCGCGTGCGCCGAAGCGAGGCCCAGCTCAATCCCGAAGAACAACTACCCAACCCCCTCTGGGCCAGCACTCAGGCGAAGGGTCACTCCTACGTGCAGCCCGCGTCTTCGGCCTACCCCCCCGCTTCGGTGGCAACTCATAAGAGCCTCCCATACAAGTCTGTCGGCTCTTGCGAATCGACGATCGTTGACGCTAGTCGACGCTGATCGACGATGAATCGACGCGAAATCGGCGCTACCTCATCGACTCCCAGACGCTAATCGACGCCAAAGACGGAATTAAGAGGGAAAACCAGACTCCCACGATTTACTACCGAGCCCCCCATCCTCCACCTCCTGCTCATCTCCCTTCCCTGGGCACCACTCGTCTGCACCCAACCCTC